AACTCTGACTCTTGCAACACAACACATCACGAATTAAAAAGACATGGCGTATCAGTACACGGGCCGGTCAGGTGAGGGTTGTTAGTCAGATCCCTGCATAATAACAATACCTAAATATAAGAAATTACTAAGAACGTTTTAAATCTTCAACGATGATTCGTTTTTTGTGTAAGTAATTTATCTTATAATATACGGATACTTACACTTCATTCATCTGGTAGAATTTGTCGGCCAATGCTTGAGGTACAGTGCCCGTTAAGTTGTTATTGTTTAGCTTACTATATATATCCTCGCAAGTTAAAAGACAAAACAGTTTGTGTAAGTTTGATCATATCCCATTTGACGAGATATATATACTTATTATAGTATAACTTATTTGACTTTATGAATAAGATCACGCACAGGGTTTTCAAACTTGGGAATCCATTGCCCCAAGTTTCAGGAATTTCCCATCCGATATTGTTATGAGAAAGATCCAACACTTGCAAATTTCCAAGATCACTGACTTCGACGGCCTTCAAAGCTGTTGTTATTTAGTCGGCTGTCCTTGCAAAGGTACACAATGCATATATATAAGATACGACTCCTCTTGGGTTATTACAAATAAATAATCAAAAACATGTATATAAATCTATAGAGAATTAATTATAAAATCGCTCACATGAATTCCAAATTGGACAACTTGCCCAACACGCCTGGAATGACCCAACTGAGATTATTTGAGTATAGATCCAAGCTCCTTAGATTTATAAGATTAAGCCAAGGCACATATGCCATTTTCCCACTTATATGATTGTCGTACAATTCACTGTCACCATAAAAACATAACAACTTAAACAACGCGACTCGTAACATGCTGGTAATTAAGTAGAAAAAAAAAATAAAAAAAAAAGAATAATTACTGGGTATTTTGTTATTTTGTGCCTTAAGTTACTAAAGTTACTGGGAAGTTAAGGTCGCTGTCTCTATGGTCACCCGCCGTCGGAGATTGATGCCGGAGCGCAGCCTCTCACCGCACATGCCAGTAAGCACTCGAAACTCAACATCCTGACGGAGCATGTTGTGACCGGCGATGACGGCGGGCTATGTCAGAAGCTTCGTTGGTGTTGGCGGCGACGGAATCGCCTGGCTTTGCCGGCAGCGATTTGGTGGTTGCTAGAGGCAGCCGGCGTGAAGCTTGGGGCGATGCCTATCTGCGGATTTATCCGGTGGCCACGACTGGTGGCAACGATGGTGTTTCTGAGGGTTGCCATCTCTGTGGTAGGAGGCGGTGCAGCGGGCTAGTGGTGGTGTTTTCCCCGGAAGTATGAGCGGATTCAGTCGTGGAGCTTGGTCGGTTGCTGATGGCGGGCATCTCCGGTGGCCATGATGGATAGCAGCGGCAGTGTTTCTAGTGTCAGTGGCAGACGACGACGCGGTGGTCGCTCTTAGATTTTGTGGCCGGATCCAGTGCGTGTGTGTACGACTGTTAGGTGAGTGTATGTTTTATGTGTGTGTGAAAGAAACAGTGGCTATACGTGAGTCGTTTATGTATGAGAGAGATGAAGTGTGATTGGTTGGGATGGTTACATGTAATTATTTTTAAAGACTAAATTACCCTTAATGATTTTGGCTATAATTACTAATTTTGACTTTATCATGACCATTGATAGGTTGGATCTAATGGTCTACAATCATTCTTATTTCGTTCACTATCACTCTTTCTCATATGATCCATTCTATATATATACTTATATATATAGGGGATGGATCCAATGAGAAACTAAATTAAAAGGAACGTCCTAAACGAGCATCAATATCACATAAAACTGCATCTAAAATCTCCACAATGCACACCGAATTTCGCAGTCAAACACAAAATTTCATAGTCAACGCTGAAGAAAAGAAAAATCAATTGAGTAACGAGAAACAGAACCTCCGTATCGGCGATGGCGGTCGTGCGGCGAACGCGAGGCAGCGCGACAAAGAAGCCGTCGGGGTAGAGCAAGGCAAAGACGCCGCCGAGGAGAATTCCGGCGAGTATCGCGGCGGCGCATCCGGATCGGCGGAGCGATGGGCAGCGGCCTCCGACGTCTCTCTTCATTAGGTCACTCTCTCTGCGAACGCCGATCGTGTTTCTTCACTCTCGGATTGAGAGGAACTAGCGATTTTTGTAGCATTATTTATTTTGGGGGTAAAGTGAAAAGAACAAAGAGAAAAAATCGGTAGAAGATACGAACTGATGAGCAAAAGCTGACCTTCTGACAGATTGAGGGGAGAAAAGGTGGCGGGTTTTTATTTTATACAATGATGAAGATATCATTAATACTTTAAAAAATCATTAGTTATAGTGATTTTTTTGTTTTTTAGTGTCAGCGATCGTAGGCCTTTAGAGCATATGTAATGTAGCCAGTAAAAATCTGAATTAATTTGACTATTACGATCAAGATTCAAGTATGTAAGTAGTTATTAATCATTGTCTGTAGAAAAAAAAAATGAGAGTCCTACCTTGTTTTCTTTTTCGTATGAGTTTTTTCGAGTTCAATTATGTTTGAACGCTACTTGTGTTCGTTATTCCAGCAAAAAAACATAATCAAATTCATTTGAATAATTTAGTAAACAAACTTCCTATAAGTAAATATTGGTTAACTAACTCGAGGTTAGTTCATTTGAGCTAAAAACATTTTATATTATATATATATATAGGATTTGGTTCAAATGAGAACCAAGTCCTAGTGTGAGAACCGTGAGAACCGTTATTTTTAATTGTATGTAGTGCTATGATTGATTGCATTTTAGTGCTGTTTTTAATCATGATGTATTTTATTAAAAATAGCAACACAATTTATGTTAGTATTTGTAAAAATGATAGCACCATGTGAGATTAAAAATAGCATCGTACACAATTAAAAATAGCATCAAATATGGTTCTCACGGTTCTCACACCAGGACTAGTTTTTATTTGAACCAACCCCTATATATATATATATATATTTAAGAAAAAGCAGTGCAAAACACTGTTTATTTCTTTAATATTTTATTCAACTTCATTTCCCCTTTATGCTGACACGTGTATAGTTATGTAGTAGATTGTCTATTTTGCCCTTAATAGTGTATTTATTTACCAACTCTAAGAAAGCTGTCACAATTTTTTTTCCGATCAATCTCGACTTTTCCACCCAAGTTTCGTTCCATATTCCCATATGACTGGTTCCCTCTTTTTTTGACACGTAGCAATTATAAATGTATATTACCTTTATTGCCCTCAATTATTTACTTAATTTCACATTTGCATTTGATATTTTAATATTTTATTTCGTGTATAAGCCTTAGCTTTCTCCGGAAGATTCATTTCTCTCCCATTTTTTTTGACCCAACACAGTGTTCGGCCGATTCACGGTTAATTATTAGCGTTATTGTATCATCAAAAGAGAAATTGTGAAGAATAATACTTGAATGTAATTTTTGAGAAGGGGAAAAACATTTTTTGACCCCAAAGATGAGAAAATTACATATTTCAATCGATGATATTTGCTTGTGCAGCTATGATCACTCGATCCAAGCTTACCTACCATAGATAGACAGTGGATCAAACAGAAGACATTACATTACAACACTTGAGGAAATTGGCTCATTAGGTCTTTACCGTCGCAGATCTTCTCTAATTGTAGTCTAAAACTTTTGAATCACATATTTCCTTGTAATGGAAATACTTAGTAGTGTATAAAATCTTAAAAAAATATATAAAATGGTTATAGACATACATAAAGTAATATAAGATAGATCAAATGGAGATTGTTATATATTATTTTCATTTTTATTTTCTGTAACTCTTATAACCATTTTCTGCATACATTCATAAACTTCATTTTATCTACTTAAATGCATAATTTGTACTTAGTTGATCATTCTATTATTTCTTAGAGTAGGAAATGATGTTGTCGAGGCAAAAAAAAAATGAGGATAGAATTGGTGTGCACGTGGAAGGTTACAAGTTAATTTTTCTTTTTAAACATGAATATTATGAAAAAAATCATATGAACTATGGATTTTGTTGTTCTATTAGCACATTCATATTTGTTATTTTTCATTTGATTAAAATAACATTATACCTTGCAAAAGATCTATATATATAGTCTGTGGAGAAATGAATTGAAATCATTAAGGCAATAATATAAAACAATTAGCATGGGCCGGCCGTGCTTTGCACGGCCAATTGCCTCCTAGTAATATTGATGTCAAAGCAAAGTCCATTAAGAGATATTAATTTAATATATTATATATAAAAAACAAAAAATATATGTATAATTTAACGTGTTTGAGAATTTTAAAAATTCTAAAATGCATGGATGAAATTTCCAAATCTAGGGATACTCAACAAATAAAGCATCTTTTACACCAAAAAAAAAAAACTATTATTACATGGTCAATTTCAATAAAAGTTATCTGCTTAACCAATGTTTATTGAAATTAACAGTGTCTTTTCCCATATTTTTTAACATGGCAAAGAACAACACTGAAAAACTCCGAAAATAGACTAACAATCAGCTAAATTATTAACATATTTGCCCATACTCCAGAGGCAAATGCTGCCCAAATTAAATTCAAATAGTGGTAAAATTCAAAAAATTATCGACATACTCCAGCCAGGCACCCGATTCTGTATTTCGACCGTATCTCAGACGACTTGTGTACATGAGATAATTTCCAAATCAGTGAGATGAGAAAAGGCGAACCCCTAAAAAAGTCTTACATGGCGAGTCATTTCCTACTCGTAACCCACATCATCATTGTCCCCAAGCTCCACATCAGCATCGTTGGATCCACCAAGTAGAGAGAGGAAAATTAGAACTGCAACGACTTGTGTAGCAAGAAAGTATTTCGCTCTTCTTCTAAATTTCTTCTCTTCCTCCGTTTTCTCCCTCTTAGGTTTGCTCTTCGGTTTCGAACCTAAAAGAAAACATTGTGCAACGAAATTATTTTCCATTTTTCCACCTTCACTTGTATTGGGATATTACTGAATAACGAGATAAAGGGCTGATGGAAACAAAACACAAATTGACCAGCGGGAAGAATGTGTATTTAGTAAAGTATTGAACTAAAAAAGGGAAGAGAAAATGCAAAAGTTGACTCACTCCAGTATGAAGGGCCCCGCCTTGAAGTTGATGACGTGGCATCTGTCTCAGGAACTGACGAAGATGATGAGCTTACATCCAAATACTCTGTTTTGAGATTCTCGGCATAACTAACGAGATTAGCATGGCCCAAGAGCTTGCTTCTTAGAACCGATGTTTCCTATCAGGTGAGGCAAAGAGGTTTAATAATTCGCATCACATTCGCATCATATTGATTGAACAATGGGAGTCAAGTGCTCGAAATTATTAAAGCAGCACATATATAAGATACATATGACAGAAATTCTCATGTGAGTGTGTGTGTGTGTGCGTCAGTGTTCGAAAAGTCAGGCTAGGCGGCCTCCTAGGCGCTGGGCGCCGGTACGCCGCCGACGATTTGGCCAAATCGGCCGGGCGGGCTCGGCGGCGCCTACTCGGGCCTAGGCGGCTTTAGGCGGCTCTCGGCGCTCTACGCGGCTCGGCGGGTTCGGCGGCAATGGCGGGCTAGGCGGCAGCAGGAGGATCCTCGGCGCCAACAGGTTTAATTT